GCTGCCCCGGGTGTGCCAGGAGCTCCGGTGCCTGCTGACAGCCCCGCTGCCTTCGGGCTCCCCTAAGCGTGCAGGAGTGCGGCTCTGCCCTCGTTCAGGGTGTGAGGCTGTCCTCCTCCAGACAGACTTCGTGGTCCGATTCCCTGTTGCACTGGGTGCACGTATTCAAAGTCATGAGACGTCAACGCTGACGTTTAATACTCGCTCTGAGTATGACAGACTACCTTCAAAGCTGTGTAAAGTATTTACATCTTTTGAGAGCAGTTCTTTACTGTGGGAGGAGAGCAGCGCTGTGAGAGGCTCCAGGTAGTGCTGGTGGCGACGTCATGCCTATACAAAGACAGCTTTGAAGTGGGCGCACCCGACCTTGAGATGGTTGCAAGCTCTTTCCCCCTGGGCTTGCTCTCTTGAGAGAAAGTAGCTCCAGTCATGAGGTGCTGGCCTGTCCTATGGGTTCCTAGTATCTTTTGCACAGTTTTACCTTTTTTCTGTAGCATCCTTTTATTTTGCAGTAGGAGCTCTGCATCCTCTAGCGGGGTGGTTCAGTAGGGTGACCGCTTGCTCTGAAGGAGATTAGCTGTCCTAAATTGTTTAAGGAGTCTAACGCAATTAGGTGGTTGGTAAGTGGAAGCAGTGACGTTAAGTTGTGAACAGGTTAGATCTGGACCTACTCTGTAAAGAGAGATCGGCTGTTAATTTTGTTGCAGTCATGTGATAGAAATGTTTAACTGCTTGAGAGGGTAAAGAGGGATGGTGAAAGGAAGAGGAGAGGGCTGCTTTGTGGAGCAAGGTGGGTAATGATAGCTGTACTCTTAATTACTGGCTTCGTGCTGCCTTGGGGCTTCTCCTTCTGCTACAAAACATTATCTCATTTGTATGGAATGAAACTGACTTCTTTTAATGACCGTGTCCCCCTCGGGTAGGGTGCCTCTCATGTTGATGCTGTTGATTTGTTTTTTAAGCAGACTTAGCCTGTCTGCGGGATAATAGATTCTGTGACCATAAACATTTCAGCAGAATAAAGTCTCTTGCTGCCTTCTGTCATATTTGAAATAACTTATAGCTGTATTAGTTATCTGAAATGGTGTATTATTCTGTCAAAACCTGGGAGGATGTGCTGGGTAAAAGATGGCTCTTCACATGCCAAATTTCTTGAATTCCTGTCCCTGAGAATCTGTCAGTAGTGAATGCTGGAGGCAGGATACTGATACAGGTACATCTTTGGTCTGGTCCATTAAATGATTTGTATCTCAAGAGCACAGTGTAGAAATGTTAGTCAGCTGTGAGGAAATAAATACAGAAGCCCATTCTCTTAGCCTAGAAGAAATGCCTGTGAATTTGAGGTTTCCCATACCAAACCCAATATCCCTTTGGATGTGAGATTTGTGCAGCTGATTGAAGTTTTTTTAACTTCTGGATACTCTTCAAACTGCTGGAAACTGTCTAAACTGCTGGAATTGCAGACATTTCAGGTGGTTTTTATTAGTATGTATGAGGGCTAGACTATACTTCTTGGTGAGTTCAGATCATGTGGTTTGCTAATACAAGAAATGGGTTCCTGTGGAACAGCACAGTGTGCTACTAAATGTTTGGCCTATGCGGTTCCCTGATGTAATTTAGCTGAAACTTGTGCACTTCATCCCTGTCCCTGGCAATTTGTTTTCCTTGGGAGCTCATGACTATGAAGGTGTGTCCTGCATGGCCAGAGAAAACCTCCTGGGCTAGCAGCTGAGATTTGGCACTTGGAAATGTGACAGAACAAATGCTGCCCTGAAAGCGCCACGAGAAATCTTTATGGAAAGAAAGATAGGCAAAGCCTTGAGGTGTGGGGTTTTTTAAGAGCTGATCCAAGGACTGTGCCTTTCCCACCATGCTGGGTAGATGGAGCTGGTGCTGAGGAGTAAAATTGCCTTCCGAAGCTCCCGGAGCCTTCTCTGGGGTGTTGCACATCCTGCTGTCAGGATATGCAGAGAATTGAGATGTTTCATTTTGAAGTACTTAAGGCAAGGATTGAAAGGATGGTAAGTTTGGTCATGCTTAGAGAAAGCATATTGGTATCAAAAATATTAGTTCTTGGGTAAAAAAATTGAAAACGGTCAGCTTTGTAGGAGAGGCATGTGTTGTTAGACCTTGGACAGATTGATGCTGCAGCGTGAGCTCACATACACTAGACAGCACAGAGTAACCTCGGGAATGGCTTAGGTCAAAGTTCACGCTTCAGCATCCCACCACACATCTCCGATCTGTCGTGGATCAGGATATGTTTTTATTTTATTTTATTTATTTTATTTTATTTATTTTATTTTATTTATTTTATTTACGGAGCTCTGTTTCGCAGCGACAGGGGATTGGAGAGCCCAGCGTGTACCATGCCGTGGTGGTTATTTTCCTGGAGTTCTTTGCCTGGGGGCTGCTGACCACACCGATGCTAACGGTGAGTAAGTTTCCCTGGGAATAATACTGGTTCTTGTAGACTAGAGTTCACCTTGGGTTGGCAAGGGTAAAGATCTTAACATAAGTGTTTGAGGTAGAGGAATTAGGAACCAAGATGTAATGGTTTGTATCTGAAAAAGCTGGAGCTATGGTAATTTTTTATGAAGTTGGGCATTTATTTTCTTAATTATTGTAGCTTAGCTTGGAGCAAAGCATGAGTTGGATTTTTGAAAGCTTTTGGAGGATTTCAAGAAAGCAGGAGTGAAAGACGTGACCTTAAATTACTAGAATTTACTGGTAGTTTACTGTCTCTTACTGCTTTTCTTTTTTCCAGGTATTAAACAAAAAAGTGCTTAGTGGGAGCTTAATGAAAGAAAGTTGAGCAAAGCTTTGACTTTTTAGCTGAAGACTGCACCATTTACCCTATACTGACTTATTTAGGGATAAAATAGATTTTTGTTGAGCTACCACCATCATTGTCTGGGGTGTCAAAGCACAGAGGCAATTTCCTGGCAATTACTTGCTACGCCAAGTTATGCTTGTCCTAGGACAGTCCACCAGTAAGTCATTCAGGACTTGACTGAGTTATGATTAACACAGGCAGCATAGGCAACTTCACAATAAGTTAAGTGCAGAGGGATAGCTTTATTAAAGAAACTTGAAATCTCTTCTTGGACATTTGCCTTTCATTAACGAGCTGCAAACTTCTGATTTGGCAACTTCAGGAAGAATTCTCAACTCTTTAAATTCATTTTCTGGTGGTGGTATGCCAGCTGCCATTGAAGTCTAATGTGCCATGCCTGTTTTTGACCTGATCTCTGATATCTAGATAACTACGCAAAAGGAGACTTTGTTTATGCAAAAGCATTTAGAAATATAGTATTAGCTCAGTAGTATGAAATGCAAATATAGACAGTACAAAACGGGGAGAGAAGAGCAGAAAAGTTATGTGGTCACATGAAGTAAAAACAGAGGGAAATCAGATGGTGCAGGGATGGAGAAAGGCAGGTTTCAGACTATCTTAGCCTTGCCCAGGTGTGCTGGAATAACTTATAGACCTGTGAAGTATTAAAGGAAGTGGCTGCCCATGTTGAAGAGGGGAGGTAGAGCTCCTCACATAGGTACGGCAGTGGCATCGTTGGTAGTGTATCCCACTTTCCCTCTTCTGTGGCCTTCAGGCATCTAGCTGTCAGGTGCTTATGGAACTTCTGCAGAAGTTACTAGCTCTGTGTGTTTTTGTTTTTGTTTTGTTTGTTTCCTAGGTGTTACACCAGACTTTTCCTCAGCATACGTTCTTGATGAATGGCCTGATTCATGGAGTCAAGGTAAGGAATATTCCTTCCAGGCTTTCATTTAAATCTGCGATCAGTGCAAGAAGTGGCAAGCCATTATAATCTGTGTCACTTGCTGATGTCAACCTGTATTTGACAGATAAATGTTCATATTTCAGTTTGGAGTACTACTGGCGAACCTAATGCAAAATGAAGAATTGAGAGAGCATAGATAGCGGGTAGCTTGTGTAGTTGATTTTACTGAGTCGTATTAACAATGTGCTGCTTGGCAGTGTGGGTTTGGGGGTATAACAGCTGTGTGTTTCTAATCAGCATGAGATCAGCCCTGTATCCATATTCTGGAGCATAACAAAAAATCTATCAGTAATAGAAGTTGGAACTAAGGAGGCCTTAGTGGGCTCTCCCCAGGACAGAAGGTGGGGAGTATGCTGTGGCATGGTAAGTTTGGACTAGACCAGCGTTCCCAGAGCAGAATTGGAGGCAACTAGAGCGAACAAGCAGTAGCCATGTGTTCTGGCTTGGGAATGTGGCAAAAAGGTTTGTTAGGCCCTGGCTCTGGCAAGAGGATCTCAGAAAATGGCCCTAGAGAGGTTTGCTTCAATGTGAGTTGGGCACTCCCATGTACACTTAAGGGCTCTTCCCTGCCTGTCTCGGGATTGAAAGACGTTGAAAAGCATTGAACGATTTTATTTGTGCTTAATGGCCTTTGCATCTCATCGGATCTGTCTTGTCTCCATCTAAAAGAGAAGGCTTTCCCTAAAACTGCAGCAGATGTTAAAGTGATGGAGCTGTGCCAGCATCTTTTTAGGCACTGGCATGGTGACTTCCCGCTGCACAGGCGTGCCTGGGAAGACCACAGCTGCAGGCTGAGCAGTTGCAGAGAACGGGGAGTAATTGGATTGTTTAGCAGCGTCTAACTGGTCGAGGATTTTTTTTTTCCTCCCTAAAAGGATGTGAGCAGTTTAAAAAGCTGTTCTGTTTTCGTAATATTGCCTGCTTGTAGAAAATAGGAGTGGATTGTCTCCTCATATTTCTATCTTTAGATGATGTTGTCAAAAGCTCTTGCTATTGACAATCAGAATTTGACTGAGGGATTTCTCTCTGTCATCCTGTCTGTCTGTCTTAGGGTCTGCTTTCCTTTCTAAGTGCCCCACTGATTGGTGCTCTCTCTGATGTCTGGGGCAGGAAATCCTTCCTCCTCCTCACTGTCTTTTTCACGTGTGCGCCAATTCCCCTTATGAAGATCAGTCCATGGTGAGTTTACTCTTGTTATAACTGAGGGGTTCTGAGGAGAGGAATGAGTGTGAGACTGAACAATGGGGGATTTGTGAGTGTTGCATTTGAGGATGAGGTGGAGGAGTCCAGCCAGTGGAGAAGGATGCTCAGCCTAGAGACTAATTTACTTGTCTGGTTCTACCAGAGGGTTCAGTGTCAGGGAGGAAGAGTGTGTCTTTCCTCTCCTGGTGCCTGTTCTTCTGGTAGGTGTGTTATCACTATTGAGGCATGTTGATGTTTCCTTCCTGCATGGGGAAAATAAATGATAAAACTCCATGGGTCACCAGACTGAAGCTCAGTGTTCCTGAGCACTTTCTGGTGCAATGAAGTAGGGTGGACTGAAGGAAGGATAAGGGAGAGACTCTAATTCAGCAGGTGTAGAAGACTACTGTGTGGTTGCTCTCTAACTCTGCCTTTGGCAATGCCTGTTTCAGGTGGTACTTTGCTGTCATTTCCATGTCTGGAGTCTTTGCTGTTACCTTTTCTGTGATTTTTGCCTACGTTGCTGATATCACTCAGGAGCATGAACGCAGCACGGCGTATGGCTTGGTAAGGCACTGAATAACTGGCTTGTCTCTTGAAATAAATATTTGGGGCTTTGCAGGTAGGAGAGGTATAAAATTAGGGTGGAAGATGTATTGACAAGCCTGAGGACAATATCAGTGAAAAGATGTGTGCTTCACTAATAATAGTCTCCCTAGTCTTCTCTTTGTGATTTAGCACTGAGGGAGAGGGCTAATTTCCATGTGATCTGAATACCGGCTGTATTGTTGCTTAGCCTTTAAACCAGCCTGGTCTGTGAGCTCCTTTCTACCAGGAAAGGGGGAAGGCTGTGATCAAGTCCTTTCTACAGGGTTAGAAATATTGTATATGAATTGCTAGGATAGCTTTAATTTCCCTTTGTTAGACCTTAGCCTAGATTGCAACAAGAGAACATGTCATCTTTCTATCTACAGGATTCCCTGTTCACCAGGATTATCTCCATCAAAGATGGCAAAACTAGTACCCTTGGGTTACTCTGGAGGAGAAAATAGAGAATAGGAGAAAATGTATTAATATTTTTTGCTTCCAGGTGTCAGCCACATTTGCTGCTAGTCTGGTCACGAGCCCAGCAATTGGTGCGTACCTTTCCCAAGCCTACGGCGATACATTGGTGGTTGTGCTAGCTTCAGGTGTTGCTTTGCTGGATATTGGTTTCATCCTGCTGGCTGTGCCAGAGTCTCTGCCAGAAGAGATGCGCCCGGTCTCTTGGGGAGCTCCAATCTCCTGGGAACAAGCAGACCCATTCGCTGTAAGTAATCTTGCTGCTATTTTTCCACATGCTGTAATGCTTATATTTGCTTTAGTTCTGCTGATTTATCTCAAAAGGAAGATGCATACCACAAAAAGTGAAGGATGCGAGGCTTAGATTAACCCCATCGAAGGTACAGCATTCAGCTGACAGCAGACTGCACGTATCTAAAGCTGTCTAGCAGCTTCTAACTGGTTTCATATAGCTACAAACCATCTAAAAGCAGCTCCAGCTGTCCTGAAGCAAGAGCATCTCTTGATGCAAATGTGCCTGTTGTTTGTATATAAATTCCATAACGTAGTACTATTGGTGTCAGGAGAAGTCTTTTGTGTTTCTGGCTTCTCAGGACCTTTGCTGATCGTAGAATCTTTGGGTTGGAAGGGACCTTTCAAGGCCATCTAGTCTAACCCCCCTGCGATGAACAGGGACATCTTCAGCTAGAGCAGGTTGCTCAGAGCCCCGTCCAACCTGACGCTGAATGTTTCCAGGGATGGGGCATTGACCACCTCTCTGCACAACCTGTGTCAGTGTTTCACCACCCTCATGGTGAAGAATTTCTTCCTTATATCTAGTCTAAATCTGCCCTCTTAGTTTAAAACCATTACCCCTTGTCCTAACGCTACAGACCTTGCTAAAAAGTCTGTCCCCATCTTTCTTATAAGCCCCCTTTAAGGCTGCAGTAAGGTCTCCCTGGATGATGATGAGTTTTGCGCAGTTTCACCTCACCTTTTGTTGCTAGGAAGATTATTCTGGCTCTCTGAGGAAAAACCAATTCTGATCAAAAGCACTTGATAAATCTGAGAAACCAAAAGGTAAAAATTCCTCACTCTAGGGTGTAAGTTGATGCAATTGTACCCCTGGTCTGGTGTGTTGTGGCAGTATTTGCATCTTCCTCTGAAATGCTGGTCTGGTTTCATTCAAGCATTTACTTCTTAGATATAAGATGGTGACTTAAGCACTTGGTTTTGCTGTCTCTGTACCTAAAGAATATTTAATTACATTAACTCTTTTTTTTATATATAATTATTATTTTCATTCCCCACTCCCCTTCCCTACAGTCCTTGCGGAAAGTGGGTCAGGATTCTACAGTGCTGCTCATCTGTATCACAGTCTTTCTCTCCTACCTTCCTGAAGCTGGCCAGTACTCCAGCTTTTTCCTGTACCTGCGACAGGTCAGTCTCTTGTGATGAGGGAAGGCTCTGAATGCAGGAAATCCCAGCCTACAAATATTATCTTAGTTGCATGTCCTGAGGAAGCTCATCTTGTCCAATAGCTTAGTATAGTTGAAGCTATAAGAAATAGTGACTTGTTCCAGCTTTCCTAAAAAATGTGGGAGCCTGGCCACCACTCTGTAGGCATTGCCAGGACCCTTTCTTGGCTTCTTGCTGGTGTTCTGCCTGTCCATCCTGTCCATGCCACTTTCAGGCATTTAAGGTGAGCCCAGTGATTTAAACCTGTTTCTTCAGCCAGAGGAAAATCTTACATTTTATTCCTGTGGCAGCACGGAGGTAGTGGAAGGTAGGGTTGATTAAATTAAATACCTGATAAGCAATGTCAGTAAACAGTTGTGATACTGATGGAGTGGCTTTTCTCCTATGGTACAAATCTCTAGCCTGAAAAGTCCCTCTTGGTGTCTTCACAGGTCATTGGTTTTTCCTCGGAGACAGTGGCAGCCTTTATTGGTGTAGTTGGAATTCTCTCTATATTGGCTCAGGTGAGAAGCAATTTTTTTTCTTGGCTCTAGCAGTCTGGATATAAGAATGTCCAAAATTTCTGATAATTGGGGCTAATGAGTTGTCAGAATCCCTGTGGCCACACAGACATTATTGGACCCATGGACAGCTATCTGCAGTCCCTCTTTCTTATCTATTGAATGTAGCTGGTTTTTGTTGAATAACAAACTGTGGTAAACTATGGGGTGGCCCTGCGTTACTCTGTGAAACTGATTGCCATGGACAGGGATGTGCTGGTTTCTAACACAACGTTACAAGAGTGGAGGAGTGCATGTGCATGACAGCCAGTCTCACAGCAGCACGAGTTCCCTGGGGTTCCCCTCCTCTTCCAGTGCTGTCATCTTTCTTTGTACTTACTTTGAAAGCACCTGTTTTTCTTTCCAGACAGTAGTGTTGGGAATTCTCATGCGTTCAATAGGAAATAAAAACACGATCCTGTTGGGGCTGGGCTTCCAGATCCTGCAGCTTGCCTGGTATGGCTTCGGATCACAGCCTTGGTAAGAGTTTGTCCACCTTTGTCTCCTGGCGTTGGCAAGTTTCTCCCTCTGTGGTGGCTCCATGGCTCTGCGGCAGCTCCCTGTCCTGCGGCAGAGGGAGATGCTGCCCTGCTGTGGCGCCAGTCTGTGGCTGGCCCTCGGATCCTGCCTCCTAACTGCTGCCTCTTTTCCCGCCCAGGATGATGTGGGCAGCAGGAGCCGTGGCTGCCATGTCTAGCATCACCTTCCCAGCCATCAGTGCCATGGTGTCTAGGAATGCGGACCCCGACCAACAGGGTGAGTGGCTTGGGGGTTTGTCTACCAGGCGAGTTCATCCCAGCAGGCGCTTGAGCTGACACACGTTTGAATTCTCAGTGTCAGTGGTGGATGGGTGGGCAGGAGCATCTGTGCCAACTGCGGAGTGTTGCTTTATACTTGGTAGTATTGACACTCTTGTCTTTGACCATAGCTGATGTTTTGGGAGGGAATTCTTAAATTATGCACGTAGGTCTTCAGTGTTGCCTGCCTGAGGTAGAGGGGAGACTGCTGCTTAATCATTTGCCTACCTTGTGGTTCGACCCTGATTCCTCAGATATTGCTGCCTTAAATTCCAGTTCAGTTGGAAATTGTTGCTTGATGTGCCCGTGTTCATTTTATTCTCCAAAGTAGCAAGCCCAGCATTACCGATTTTTTTTTTTTTAAAACCTGATACTGAGCGAAGCTAATCACCAGCTAGCTGCTTCATCTGTAAAATGCATGTCAGTTCAGATCTGAATGTTTGATCCTGTCTTTAAACATGTAAGCATTCTTGAATAAAACAAGTTTCTTCAGAAAGCTGTAAGCCTATCTTCCTTTCCTCACTCTGTCCCCAGGTGTGGTGCAGGGGATGATCACTGGAATTCGGGGTCTGTGTAACGGCCTGGGGCCAGCGCTCTATGGCTTTGTCTTCTATCTCTTCCACGTGGAGTTGAATGAAATGGCTGAGGTGGAAACTTTGGGTAAGGCCTCCAAACCCAACATGGCCAACCCTACAGATGAGGTAACCTGTTCAGCTTTATCATTCTGTTTGCTGGGCTGCTTCTGTCCTTGCACTTGAGCATGAATCGTTCCTCTGTTTCTCCCTACAGAGCAGCATTATCCCAGGGCCTCCATTCCTGTTTGGGGCTTGTTCTGTCCTGCTGTCGCTCCTGGTGGCCTTGTTCATCCCAGAACACAACCTTGCACTGAGATCAGGCAGCCACAAGAAGCACAGTAACGGAGCCCAGACCCATACCCACAGCCCGCAGGCCGGAGGATCAGATGGCAAAGAGCCCCTGCTTGAGGACAGCAGCGTATGAGGTTGGGAGAGAAGGACCTGGCTTGCGTCTCAGCTCCAGATCAAGGATGGACTTAGCCAGTGGGAGTTCGGGGAGAGATGGTGGGGGGAGAGAAGAAATGTGGTAACAGGCTGTACCACTGACAGCTAGTGAGAAGGGACAGGGTTTCCCTTCAAGCCAAATATACCCAGCTGGTGCAAAAATGGAATTGTATCATCTGGTGCTGATGGAAAGGGGAGATATTGAACTGCTGCAAGTGACGGGATAGTTCTTTAAAGCAAACCTGCCCTTGTACATGAATACTGAACTTCATGGTGTGACCTGCCAAATACTCAACTCGCCAGTGAAAATTTAAGGAGCTAGCATTGTCTTTGTTCTAATGTGAACCGAGTTGCCAGCCAGAATAAAACAAGGCTCTTACATGCCCCCATCCCCTTATATAATTGGTACTCGCTGCTGATCCCGTCACAGCCCGGCTGGCTGACTGCGGCCCTGGGAGAGGCTTGACGGCTGTCGTGTGCAGTATGTGCAGCCTGTGCTGTGGTAGTACACCAAGTAAAAAGCGCCTGCATGTATGAAGAACAGATAGTGTAGTCAACTGTGAGCAGATCCTCACTGCTTGAGGATCTGATGAATTTGCCCATTCTGGCCCATGTGAAACTTAGACCCAAAAAAAAAGAAAAATCTACTGACTTAATGTTCTGATGAAGAGAAGAAAAACTAAGAAGTAAAGTTGCAACTGACACAAGGCAGAATGGGCAGATGAGGGAAGGGCAACTGCATGAATTACAAATGCTTAGATGGTCAACATCGTTTGTATTTCTGTTTGTTTTTTCTTTTTTTTGTTACACTGATAGAACATTTGTCTGTTGCTACCTCCATAGGTAGTAGGTAGAAGGATTTTTCAGAAATCTCCTTCTGGAACTGTAAGGGTTTAGAAAATACAGTTCTCTGAGAGGTTGGAGAAACAACTAAACTCTGCTGCATGGTTTCCTGAGAGAAAGGTCAAAGAAATAGCTGTTTATCCTGAGCACTTTTACAAAGCATGTTGATTTTTTTCCCAGGCTCTTGCCATCTGATACTAAAATGAGATAATGACTGTAGCTTGTTTTTTCGCAGTTCAGAAGATCCTGATGGCGATGATTGCAATTGATTTGAACTTACAGGTTTGGATTCCATGTAGCATTTCTGAGCCTGCTATGAAGGCTTTTGTTTTGATGAAAAAGGGAATTGCAACCCCTGCTGCAGGGTTCAGCTCTGTTTGGAAAGAGCGTT